CCTGTTTCACTGTTGGAATCTCTTCGAAGGCTCTTTTACTAGCCAAACAACGTACGAGATCATTTCGGTATTTAGCGGGATGGTGCAAGAGGCTAATGAAACTGGTCGTTTTTTAGCGCAGCACGGCTGCTACTGCCAGGCTGTGGCATTCGCGCGCCTCCTGTCGCCTACGTAGAACACAACACATTTTGGCCCGCGAAATATCAAGTAACATCAAACTTGAAACGGAAAAAACCAGTAGCGTGTCGCAGCCACCATTTGTAGCCCACGTTGATCACGGCCTTTGTTTTCGCAATAAAACTGAGTGGCATGCGATCATCAGTAAGGTCCCATTCCGGGTCCACTATCTTCACCACAGGGGTGACTTCGATTATGTCTTTTGGCCGATATTTTTTTTTCAGGCTACCTAATGTTGAAACGGAGGCGATATAAGGTTTTTCAGAAGGACTTAATTTGCAGGTCGTATTTCCTATAACCGAGATTCAGGTTCACTATAACCGAACAATCTTATGCTTATTTTTAATGTGACGTACGTTCACTACAACAGAGGGTTCACTATATCTGAGTTCATTATAACCAGTCGACTGTACTACTGAAGCGCTAACTAGGGCAGGAGGAAAGCTGTACCCACACAAAAATAGATTTAGACAGGGCTTTCACGCCCGTACCTGCGGATGAATCTTCAACGATCCTCGCCATGAACACAACGACGGGACTTTTCCGAGTAAAATATCCTTTGTCTGCTATTTCTCATCGGATCCAGAGTTGTTTTAAAGCACTTTAAAGAACTTGTAAAAGTACATTCCAAAGTGTGGTATATCTCGACGACATATTAAAATACATAACCAATTGGACGGAAGAGGAAATCTGGCAGAGAGTGGTGGTAGTTTCCTTACAACTAAAGAGGGTACAACTCGGGAAATATAAATTTGCAAAATGCTCAGTAACATTTGTAGGATTTCAGTTGGACCAAGAGAGAGTTGACCCTACCTAAGGTAAACTGCATGCTATTCGCCAGGCAGCAACGCCAAATGATAAAACTCAGTGGGGACATTCTTGAGCCTTATCTACATTTACGGTTTCGCTGAAACCCCCTGAACCAGTCATTACATTCAAATGTTGGTTGGTAATGGATCATATAACAAGAAAAACTTTTCGAACAGGATGTCGGATCGATCAGAAACCCCGATAGATTTTGGATCGAGAACATTGAAGGCTGCGGAAAAGAACTAAGCTCGGTTTGACAAAGCTCTTTCCACAATATTTTGGGAGAAATTTCATGAATACATCTGAGGTCGCAGTGGCAATAGCCACAAACCATAAGCCATTTTTCGTAATTACAAGGGTATGGAAACAGACATCTAACACAGACACCGAGAATGTTTCGTTAGTCGTTGGTTCTTAAGGTATATGACAACGCATTGGAATACAGTCCCGGGAAATAACACCAAAACACTGACGCTTGTAGTCGATCCCAGCAGGGAAGAGGATTCCTGATCCACCAAAGATATTATAGTTTAAAACTGCAGAAGATTTTCCACTGACGGTCAGGAACACAGAGAGACAAAGCCACAGAACTGCGCAGAGTGAAAGGCGTGTGTGAGTCGAAATTCTGCCACATACAAAGCCGTTCCTCGCAATAAACGGCAGAAGAGATGGACTATACGGAGTACACCGAGAGGGGAAGTCGAGAAAAAGAGCCTCCAAAACCCAGAGAAGTGTTCGGTCTCTTACACTAGGTTCATCAAGGGATGGCTCACACTAAAGCTATTGCTCGAAGTTATGTCCGGTGCCAGGAACTGAGCGACAGAGGCGATAGATTGCAGAGAACATAATCCCCCCAATAATAAACCGGTGACTTAGCCAAAACTTGACAAACCGTGGTCAAGGATTCACATTGTTTCTGATTGCGGTGGATTCATATTCAAAGTGGCCGGAGATAATCGATACCAGCGGATCTTTCTCGGCAAAAACATGACACCATAGTTTCGGATAATTGAACAGGGTTACTCGCTTCGGAGGTAACTCAGACGTCCGGGGATTGACTTCATCCATTAAGCCCCATTCCATCCAGCAACAAATGGATTAGCTGAGAGGATGGTCGAAACATGAATTGCAGTTCCGTTTAAGTGGCAATAGGAAATCAATTAATTGCTCTCGGCTTTTCGAACTCCATGTGAATCTACGGGGCTGTCTTCAGCAGAACTTATGTGATTATGAACTTATGGAATCCAGAGAAGACACGTCAATCAAGTTTGTCAGGATAAATCACACCTATTTCGACTTTATATCCAACAAGAACAACAATTATGAACTAGAGCAAGACCTACAGAAGTTTTCAGTGTTCGAGAGCTAAACCTGAACGACCGTTCACGAAGTCGCGCAAATATTCGTTCGAGTTCCGAGACCTGACAAAAGGATTCCAGACGAGCCGCCAATTCCATTGGGTCCAACAGTTGGGTTGACAATTGTTAGTAACAAATCATGTTACCTGGGGGTTGACCTCCTGAGGGGAAACTGTGTTGTGAGCTTGCTTCGAGTTCTGGGGAATTTTGGGAACACACACATATATAGTTATATTGCCTTTGCGTTTGCATACTTCAACAAAAACAATACGTTTGTTGGCACATCATGTGACACTGCTATCACAGTTATGACATCATCACAATTAGGGTTGCAATTAGGATAGTAATGGAATGTAGGACATTCAAAATATATCAGAACAAATACTTGTTTTTTATACAACTACCTAAGTGGTATATCAAGTAATTCTATAACAAAGGAATGGTATATTAAGTGCACAAGTATATTAAGCAGCAGATCAAGATATATTACAACGCTCACTTTCAAGAACATTACGATGACCACTCTTTTTCAAGAACGAATTTCCCTGGCTTTCCACTAAAAAATGTGTGAAGTATAATCACAGTATTTAAATAAAATATTGAATAAAGCACGAATTTGGTTGATATTAAAAGGCTGTAATTGACCGAGCCCTTTTCCCCTTTGCATTTCAGATTCTCTTGAATTAACACATTATGAGAGAAACAGATGCACTTCCGATTCAGATCGCAGTCACTTTATACATTTTTCAGATTTTAGATTGTACCATAAAAAGACAAAAATAACAATACTCGGTTAACAAAGAAATTGCGTTCTCTTATGTAGCACACAGGATTGAAGGATATTTGGCAGAAACAAGACAAAAATCATGAATGACACATGCCTATATTCCGGACATGCCCTGCTTTTTCAGAACGTATGGAAACCCTAGTCACAGCTAATGAAATGTCAATGGTCTTAATAATGTTCTAATCGAAGTGTAGCTTAATTTTAGTTCAATGCTATCATTACACGAAATGTATTGCATTATTAGTCCAAGATCACATTCAATAAATCAGAATCACTGGCATTTCAGCTGTTGTCACTGACCCTTCCCTGTCACAAGATACATCAGCGAATCTTCCAGAGCTTTCTTAGCTTTTGTTGTAGTTTTGTTTTATGCGACAATTATTTTATGTACCATTATATTATTGCATATGCAACAATATTTGATCGTTTATCCAAAATTTCCATACTTTCGCACCCAATGCAATATGCTTTTACTTCAATTTCCCATATTTCAAATTTAATTCAGAAGTATTCAAAGTAAAAAATTCACATTCATTTGAAATATTAATAAAATTTTATAAATTCAGAGCGCTTAGAGGGACGACTTCAAAATTTCTGCTCAACAGCAGAAGCAAGTCACTGCACGTGCAAAATTTCACTTTCAGTCTACTCTCAATATAATTAAAATCCCAGGGAGTATCCATTCATTAAAGTTGAGTACAATCAGGCACTTTAAACTAATTTCTCCAAAGTTCTAGTCTTCACATTTTCCAATCTTCCTTACAATGAAAAGCTCGAATGTAACAGCAAGATTTGGCTTCCAAACACTTCAAAATAAATTACAGAGGATCTGTTTCAAAAGGAGTACTTGGAGTTTTTGCCCTTATATAGATTCAGTACAATTCTGCAAACTGCCTCTGTAAGTTTTGTGGACGGAAGAAAAAAAAGGAGAGGTGGGAGAACACCTTTCATTGATGAATCTTCAAATTTCCAGTACAATCCATTGTTTGCCAGCAACCTGCGTTAAGTAATTTTTAGTGTAATATTTAACAAACATACATGAACCACTCTTGTAGTATAAAGTTGTTAATAATAGTCCTAAACAGACGTTAGGTGTTATGATATCTGAGGTTGAAAGTTGGATGAAGCCTTATCAAGATAAAATATAATCAACATGTCATTGTAATAAATCCTTATCTTTCTCTTTGTGATGCAATGCAAAGGAACTTCAATTTAAAAGTATAGCTTTGAGGTGTTTGGCATTTCAATATAAAATCGTCAATAACTCCTTTCTTTTCCCTTTCCATTCAATAACTCATCAAATGGCTGCAGCTTGTTTCATTACAGTAACGTTCAGTTTCATTACCATAAGTGTTTGACCAATCACAAAGTTACAAGCATTAAGAGGTAATTAAAAAAATGTTCAATGCTCATGAGTCATGTGAAAGTAAACCACACCCATTCAAAATGCCCAAATAGTGAATGGGCATCAGATAAGTGAATGTGAATCTGATACAGAATTAACACCGGTATGTAAAAAGCCAGAAATGAGAACAAGGTTAAAATTTAAATTATTAGTAGCACAAAAAGTACTGAATGAAACTCGATTAAGTATGCATGAGTATCAACACACTCATGAAGTTTATAACACTCACTAGTGTCGTAATACATGTTCAAATATGAACACCCAACATTACATAAATTTTTCAAAACATACCATATTTACGCAAATATAAGATGACTCGGAAGAGGTCTCTTGAGATTTTCTTTTTTCATTTATAACAAATTCTTAATATTCAGTCAAAATAAAATCACCAATTTTCATATGGACCAGAAAATTGTCTAGCTTAAATTAATTTTTTTACCTGACCAATCTATTTTCTTATTCCTTATAAAAATAATTTTCATCACTACCATGTTTATCTTCAAAAATTTTTTTTTTTAAGTCTTTCTTGCCAATCCTCCCCACAATACATTATCTTGACGTTTTTGCCCCTCTTGATAAGTTCTGAGCTTTTAATTTGCAACTTTCATCTTTCAACTTACGCCACCAAAGAACATTCCATTACGTCACCAGATTTTCTTCCTACCATGCTCCTGTTTGTCTCCGATTCTTTAACAACCATTAACTTGAAATTCATATTGTATAATATTTGCATGATCAAGAAATGAACTCAAAGATCTCCATGTGGATAACATCAAAGAGAGAGAGACAAATTTCAGTTTGGGAATTTTTTATAAATTTTTTAAAATTGATTCCACTTCTTTTGTTGAGTACAGTAGGGGAATGCAGATTCACACTCATCAAATGTTGAAACGAGACTGGTGCAGCCTTAATTGTGTAATAATATCTCAGCAACAACTTTGATTCATTTTCATTGTTTCAATTAAAATCCGTTTTTGAGATTGTATCTTTACAAACCCCTACAAAAATATTGATCTAAATCGACCGGCAAATACTCAGCGTATGCCAAAGATACATCCACAAATATCATGAATTATAGATACATGCAGTTTTTATCATCTTTGTAGCATATTGTTACATCAGTATTTAAGTTTTTTGACATGCAAAGGCAAAGTAAAAATTAGATGCCCAACCATTAGGCACAATTGGATTTATGTTGGTAAAACTAGATCCTATATATAGATGAAAACTACTTCTCGAGTGAGATATTTAGGAAAGAGCCCTCACTTTATAATCGGATAAATACGGTTCTATTGATGTGGAGCAATGCAGAGGTGAAAATTTGCAATATGTCACAGCCTCAAGACTGAAAACTTCACTAAGGACATGGCTCATAGCACATGATTTACCTATATGCTACAATGGAAAATGTTTATCCTTCACACGTTTACCTTAAATTAATGTCCTTTTTCACTATTTAGTAATTCTTGTCGACTATTTAACACAAGATAACGTTCAGGAAGCTTTGGTAGAAAAATCACCATTGAAAAGTAGCGACAGTCATTTTCTGCCATGGTGATGGTGTAACGGTCAGCGCATTTTACTGTTATACCCAAGTTCATGGTTTCAAATCCTATCGAAGCCATGGATTTCTAAAGGTGAAAAAATCGTTCATACACCTTCCTTCATAGGGGAAGTAAAGCCAGCTGTCCCATCTTAGTAGATTTACTGAATGTAAAAGATCCTCAAGCCAAACTGAAGCATCTAAGCTAAATTCAAATGGTCTGTTTCGTCACTCAAAAATACCTTGGTGAAAGGTAAGAGCGAAATCTGCGTGGCCCGACGGTAGAGCAGGCCTCATAGGCACATAAAATAAGGCATCAATTCAATTTTCAAAGAGGATTACTGATCCATACCAGAACAGAAAGATATATAGTCAATTATTTCCAGTAATAAATGGAATAGTAATAGAGGATTGATTTCTTCCAATTGTTAATAACAGTTTGCAATGAAATTCTATATAACATGTGGAATGGTACTCTACATGAATATTTTCATAATCTATCAAAGGTGCATAGAGAAAATGTATGTTCAAATACGTAATTGTTTATAATCAGCTACAAAAATTTGAATTCAATAATTGGTTATACATTCAAATATATCACTGGCAACCCACATATTACCTTTTATAGGTAGTGTCAATGTGAAGGTTAAAGAATATTCGAATTTGACAGCAATGTGTTCACTAAATTTTTATCCTCCTGTTAACATTATAATACACTGCACCTTAGTTACAAAACTAGGATCTGGAATATGTAACAATTCATGGAATGAATTGAAAATCATAATTGCTCCAAAAAATTAACTTATTTAGCACATTGCTGTAAACAGAACACAGTAGTTGATCTCTAATTACCTCTCATTTTCAAGCCCTTCAAAATCATATTCAAACTTAGTTTCATCATATTTTTTCCATTCATACAGGTACATAAATTTTAATGTAAACCAGCATTTTTCTGAACAAAAAATATAAGTTAATTTTTCCTAAAATGCAAATAAAGATCATAGGTTATTAAAAGCATGAATAAGTTAATAATGTTTAAGTTTTGACATTTTACAATGACTTGAAACACCCTTCCTTGTTTTACAAAGCCTGATGTACTCTCAGGAATATTAAGTATCTTCAAATAGGATTGAATATTCCGAGAGGGACACAAAGAAAAAGACACATTTATAGATCTGACATGTTTGTAGATTTCAAGACCTGGTACATAGAGTATGATGGCAAGATGATATAAATAGTTCAGAATAGAAATTCATATATATGTTTTTAAAATCTCAGAAAGGAAACCAGTTTCTCAAAATATGCAGTTGCTACTTTACACAGCAATACCAATACAATAAACAATAGCTATGTCATAAGCATGGAAATGCAAACATATGTAACTAGCTATTTACTAGTGCAACATTTGCATAGATGTTTTCCCATACTACACTGCACTGTAAAAAATCATAATAAAAAGTAATATTTTAGCACTTAAAAACTGTAGAAAAAATGAACATATATTATTTGTATTATGTTTGTAAAATCTTTGAAAGCAAAATACTACTGGTATTCTGTGTAACTATGCACATCTTAATGGATAGATTATTACTGTTTTTGCATATAAAATTTGTTTCCATCTATACACCCATACACACAATATACCTAGTACAGTTCCGCAGCATAACAAAAGATTTGCAAATGTTCAATTAGTGAATGGCTCAAATCCTACCAATACAACCATACATCCAATTTTCAAGCCAATTCTTAATATCTATATCCCATCAATATCCTATTCCCTTCGAAGTAGTAATAACAGGAGGCAACATTTTAACATATTTGAGGTGGAACAAGTAAAATTTACTCAGCAATCACAACAGATGATTTAAAAAAACTTATCTTTCACAATTGTTCATCTACAGAAGAAAAAAAAAACCTGATGCATCATGTTATGACTGCATTATAAATTTTTGGGAGACCCACAACAAATATTAAATGCAGTACATTTCAAAATTCACATCCACCATTCACTATTTGGAAGAGTACAGAACTTTCTACTATGACATAGCCCAATGCTCAGCTATTGATGCTAGCATGGATACCATTCATTCCTACAAGAAATACAACTGTAACATGAACCAATGTTATGTTTGGTATCAACAGTATTCCACACAAACACTGGTCAGAGGTCTCTTAGCAAGTGCAACATGCTTCCTTTAACAACAATTCTGGCAATGTTCAACACTGCACAATTTTACTTCATATTTAATACATGGGAGCAAGAAACAAAAACCAAATCACACAGTTGTTAGTCTTTCATTATTGACAGAAACCTAAGACTGCAGTGGTTCCAATTAACGAAGTCAACAGTACACTTTTAAACTTGCACTACAGTGCATTTTGAAAACAATTCGTGTAAAATCTTGTCTTGATGCAACACTACAATTCCAGTACAGTGAAACTGATGTAGAAATGTTTTCACTGAAAGTACAGGATGATATAAGAGTCTACTGAAAGTAATTCTTCTAAAATTCACAAAAATAAACATGTCTTCAAACAAATTTATGTATTTTTCTCAGTAGTCTCATAACCTACGACAGATATAATAATGATATCTAACACAGAACACAAAAAGAAATGTCTCCTATATAAACTTAAAGATCACTGAGAGGTTAAAAGCTCGTCTTTATGCATTTAGTATACATGTTTGATATAAATTACAAGAAAAAACAAACTTGCAAGGTTCCAACAATAGGCATTAAATACTTGTGATTCAATGCAGGGCACAAAAATGCTCAAAATGTTCTTTCTTATCGGCTTACAAAAATCAAGTACTCATTTTAACAGTCAACAAATTGAAACAATTACACCAACCCTTTTTAAAAAGAGAAGAAAAAAACAACAAAAAACAATGAGAGAAAACAGTTGAAATATCAGCAATGCAACATTACTGTAGTTATATATAAAAGTTAGCAGAAGGGGAAGGCCACATTTTGCAGAAATAGAAGATAGGTATCTGATCATCTCTCACATCCCTACAGGAACCTGCACAAAAATGATGTTGAACACATTTCCAGTAATTTTACATGAAACAACCAAATTACACCCAAGAACGAATGCTTGTATTGTATTGCCCTGTATAGCATCATGCCCAATCAGATGTTGTAAAAACAAGAGACATGACAAAATTGTGAAAGTAATTTCAACAAAGGCAAGTATATACAATGCTAACGCAATCAGAACAAAAAATATTAAAACCTGAAAACACTAGCCAATAGTACTCATTTCCTTCATAATTCTCCTACACTGAATATTTACCATAGCTTTTTTCATACCAAAACCTTTCTTTTTCCCATATGGCACACCACTGGGAGTGAGTTGTCCTCCTTTTCTCACCATTTCTGCATGACGCTGCCTTCTCTGTTTCAACCAGTTTCCAAAATTTGTGTAATTGATTGATGAAAACATATAACTAAAACCAATAAGGTAGACAGGTGGTGTGAACATTGAACTACTATTCTTATGTATTTCTCATTCAAGAGTCTAAGTGTCCGTTTTCACTTGCAGTTATTACACATTTTCTCAGTTACCAGATTGACACACTTCCAGAAGTCTATCACTCTAGCGTTTTCCATTGTTGTAGCTCATTACACGTGCTGGAGCCTTAAAATTAGAAGCTGCCTGTTGTTGAATTTGGTAAGCCAGGGGATGAATCTTAAATCCATATAGTCTGCAATAACAAAAATAATTAATTTTGCTTATATTAAAAATAGCATATTGGTTATTTTAAAAACAAACGAATGTCTTGACACAGAACATGCAAAGATAAATATTGCTCAAGTTCCTTTCTGTTAAAAGCACACTGTGCCTTAAAGGTATAGGATACAGTTACATTCACCTAATTCTAAGAAAGAGCACATTGAAGTTTTGTATCCCACTGTAAGTAAATGAATATGAAGTTTAGACTTCTAATTTTGTTTTTAATGCTTTTTGGACACTGTTCTCAATACCTCCAAGAATAATGAAACTGGATTGAATATGTTAAAATATTCCATTCTGGCAAAAAATGGACAGGGTCCCCTAAACTCTGAGGTATTCATATAGAAAACGTTTATTTTCAACCTATGTATTTATTCACCTGGAATCACCTGGAATGCCTACGAATATAAACAATATTAGAACCTCAAGGAATTCAGTGTTGAGATATTCAAACATGGACAAACTGCATCAAAAATAATAAACATAATGTACTAGAAATACAAATAATGTAATACGTTTTTAAGCGGGAAATTCTACAAATACATGAACAACACAGAAGTGTCACCAAATGTTCAGAAACATTAAACTGTTTTTATCGTTTGATTCTGTGGGATTATGCACATTGAAAAACTATAAACCAACACTATATTTCTTTCACCATTGAAACTACTCAACTTCAAAACGTGAATATCATTGCATTTATGTATGAACACAATAAAACAAGTCAAACTATTCAGGTCTAAAAATTTAAGAGATTTTCATATAATCAGGTATGACTTATCATTGCACAAATTTTCCAACATACACATTCCATTGTCAATAGGCAAGACAGTTGACTTTAACTTTTATTATCCACAACAAATTCAGTAAATATAATTATTTTTATTTTATTTATTTGCACACACATCGATAGTTTTAAAAATAGTAGTTGTGTTATATAAATAGTCTTTTTTTCATTTTTAACATTCAAACACAACATCAAACACATCTCATAACCATAAACTTTCAGGAAAATTTAAAAATAGGCGGAAAATTTAAAAAGAAAGACATTTACTTTTCATTCTGAACCTTAAAAAATGTTCCCAAAGAGCTGTTTATTCTTCAGAAAAAATTTCATTAATGAAAATTTTTTCTCAAGGACAAACAGCTCATAGGGCTATTATAATGCTGCAACGTGTTCTCATCACTAACAGTAAAACTCTAGTGTGAACTCTAGAATGAAAATATATCTATGTCATGGTGACTCAAAATTAGGTACCTATTTTTGAAAATTGTAAGACAATAATTTCCATCAACAACTTTCAAACATTGACGCTTCACACATTCTCAATTTCCTGTTCAACGGGGCATTTTCTGTTCCGTTTCATTTTATCATATCTTGCTAAAATGAAAACGAACTTCTCTTGTGCATTGTATGTGTTATATATTAAAAATATCACTGCACAAAAAAGTCTCTCACCTTGGGATGAACTGATTGGCAGGCCGTTTTGGTCTATATTCAGGATGAACCATAAATAACATCTGAGGAAAACCAGTGCCAAAATAGGCTCCATCCGTATGATGATGGCGTGATGACTTTGGGGTATAAACATCCATACATTTCGGACAATATGTCTTTACCATTGCCTCACCAGGTACATCAGATAAGCCTGCAAATTTAATGAATATTACTATTAAATTTTACTTGCACTAAAAATTAAAATTGAAAAGTACAAGATTCTAATTATATTTCAAGATTACTGTATTTCAACAAATAAATAACAAAAATTCAAGAAGTTCATACCTATGGGTAGCATTGGCTCACTTTCACAATAAACACGAGGACAGTGACCAAAATCACCAGACTGATACTTCTCAATCATCTGACCTATGCCCCGATTTGTGAGTATATAGCGAGCATGTATAAGACCATATAACATTTCAGCAGCTTGCTCAATAAGATCAGACTGGTTTGGGTTATCATCCAATTCATCTTCTACAAATGCAAGACAATTTTAAAAATGCATAAATAAAAAAAGAGAGAAAATGTTTACGTAAATATTAATTATTCACTCCAGAAACTAGCGATGACACAATCAGTCTTGTGAAAATTAATAATAATTGCATGTATCCTACAACCACATCAGCCATCTCTTAAAAAAGTACCTCCAGCAAGGAGGTAGGGAGGCCAAAAACTGAAGTTTTGCAATTTTCAAAATTTTTGAGTATTTAATGAATGACACACATCACATTTGTATGCACACTTTCCCACGTTAGAGCAAAAACTTTAAGTAAAAATTATGTCCATCCTCGAACATGAATTCTGATCTTGAGATTAGAAGCCCATGTTCTTGTGCAAAACAGTACATGACTCTCACAGAATAGTTTGCTTATAATGAGCACAATTAGGATAGGAAATATTTACACAAAATCTTTTGAGAGTTCAATAAACATAATAAAAAGTAAGTTTTAACATTTGAGACCTATAATAAATTGAATTATAAAATACAATACTGATGCAAATAATAAAAAGCAAAATGTTCCCATAAATTTCCTTATGTGTAATTTTTGAAAATTCAGTATTTTTTTTAATCAGAATGATGCTTATGTCATGTGAGACAAGAAGTTCAAAGAAACAATTTAAGAGCCATTTGTGAGAAAAACTTTTTCAGGTATATTTGGAAAATTGTTGAAACCTCTGGTTGAATAATTTATTGTGCTAATGCAGAGGATTAGTTTGTATTAAGAGAAAAATGTCTAACTTTAATGATGGAGTTGTAAGCGTAGGTAAAAAATTTTTTTTTTTTCTCTTTGAAAAATCAGACATATTAATGAAAATTGAAAGCAGACACCAACTAAGGCAGTCAAAGAACACAAACTTACACAGTAAGTAATACACACAGACCGACACAAAGAGAGAGAGAGACAGAAGAGGGGGAGAGAGACAGGGGGAGAGAAAGACAGGGGGAGAGAAAGAGAGGGGGAGAGCGACGGGAGAGAGGAGAAGAGAAGGGGAGGAGAGGAGAGCGACGGGCGAGAAGAGAGACGGGGGAAGAAGACAGGGGGGAAGAGGAACGGAGAAGAGACGGGGAGAGAGAGACAGGGGGAGAGAAGGAGAAGAGAGAGGAAAGGAGGGAGAGGGAGAGAGAAGCGAGGGAGAGGAGATAGGAGAGAGAGGGCGAGAAGAGGAGAGGAGAGAGGGAGAGAGAGAGAGGGAGAGAGAGAGGGAGAGAGAGAGGCGCTGAGAGAGAGAGAGGAGAGAGAGAGGGAGAGAGAGGAGAGAGAGAGAGGCGAGAAGAGAGGGGAGATAGGGGGGATAGGGGAGGAGAGGGGGAGATCTAGGGGAAGAGAGGGAGAGAAGAGGAGAGAGAGGGAGAGAGAGGGAGAGAAGAGGGAGAGAGGGAGAGAGGGGGAGAGAGGGGATGAGAGCGCGAAAGAGAGGGAAGAGGGGCGAGAGAGGGGGAGAGGGGGGGAGAGAGGGGGGAGAGAGGGGTGGAGAGAGGGGGGGAGAGAGGGGGGGAGAGGGGGGAGAGAGAGGGGGGAGAGAGGGGGGAAGAGGGGAGAAGGGGTGAGGGGAGAGAGGGGAGAGAGGGGGAGAGAGGGGGGAGAGGGAGAGAGGGGGGAAGGAGGGGGAGAGAGGGGGAGAGAGGGGAGAGAGGGGGAGCAGAGGGGAGAGAAGGGGAGAGAGAGGGGGAGAGGAGGGGGGAGAGGGGAGGGAGGAGGAGAGAGAGGAGAGAGAGGGGCAGAGAAGAGGGAGAGGGAGGGAGAGAGGGGGAGAGAGAGGGAAGGAGAGGAGAGAGGGCGGAGAGAGGGGGAGGAGAGAGGGAGAGAGAGGAGAGAGGGGGAGAAGGAGGGGAAGGAGAGGGGGATGAGAGGAGAGAGGGGGAGAGAGGGGGAGAGAGGGGAGAGAGAGGATGAGAGAGAGAGGGCAGGGAGAGAGGAGGGAGAGATGAGGGGAGGAGAGGAGGAGGGAGAGAGGAGGAGAGAGGGAGGGAGAGAGGAGGGAGAGGGAGAGAGAGGAGGGAGAGAGAGGAGAGGAGAAGGAGAGAGAGAGAGAGAGAGAGAGGGAGAGAGCAGAGGGGGAGAGAGAGAGGGAGGGAGAGAGAGGAGAGAAGAGGAGAGAGGGAGAGAGAGGGAGGAGAAGAGGGGAGAGAGGAGAGGGGAGAGGGAGAAGAGGGGAGAGAGAAGAGGTGGGAGAGGGAAGAGGGGAAGGAGAAGGAGGGAGGGAGAAGAGGAGAGGGAGAGGAGAGGGGGAGAGATGGAGGGAGAGAAGAGGGAGGAGGGAGAGGGGAAAGAAAGAGAGAGGTAAAAAAGGAGGAAGGTGAGGAAGAAGGGGGGGAAAAAAAAAATTCTTTCCTGTGTTTTTTGTGGGTCCT